AGAACGAAGCCAGTATATTTACAAACTAACGTCAGTTATTCTTTGCGGTGCTTACTGTTCATACGCACATAGTGAACGTTGGTTCTGTAGTAAAGGGTTATTATCAGCCTCACGTACTGTAGTGCTTTTTCTTAGCGCTGTTTAAAATGTTTGTCTAAAAAAAAACTGGACTAGAGTCCCATCCAAAAAAAGACTGGAGTGCTTCCTCATCAGTGAATATGCACAGAAAACAAAGACACACATGCACACACGAGAGTTGCACAATGTACCTTCTCCGGATTTTTTAACGCATATGCATTAAGCTCGTTTCGCAAAAATTTCAGCGTTGGTGTTGGCGTCGACGTCACTGGTTTTGAGCAAAAAATCGTCTTATGCGTGACCGAAAACTCAAGAACGATGCAAATAAAATAAATTATAAAGAAACCTGGGTCACACTGGGGCCAAGCCAGGGTCGTTTTGGGTGAGAGTGGGGATCAAACCTAGGTCGTTTGCGGGGCAAGCGGTGCACCACGGATGTGGTACACTGCTTGCCAAGCGGATGTTCTACCATACAACCACTTTGAATACAGTAAAAAGAACTTCCGCTTTTTGGAAATGCAGTGAAAGTAGCTTTCATGATTAACACACGCGTCCTTTATACATGCTTCACAATGCAACACGAGATTTTGAGGTAATAATGCGTGGTACAAGCACCCATTGCCAGCGGGCATCAGAACACGCAATTATCACATTGGCTTCGTGGTTTAAAGCCGGTCAGGTACCACAAGAGGCACTCACACTACTGCGCCTATTTCCTTAAGGCCATGCAGTGGGTGCATAGCAAGTATGAAAAGGTTTCATGCACTATGTGTTTGAAGTACGCACTAGGGACAAAATATCGCTATCGCATCCAACTCCTAAAGGTACCCTAATTAGGGTTCCCTCATTTTATTTTACGTGATGCCTGTGTTCGCTTTGGTGGTTCAGTGGGTACGGTGCTTGGCTGCTAACCCGAAGGTCGCGAGTTCGATCTCGGCCGCAACCTCATAATCATGTGGTTTTGTCGCGTGAAACACCGAAAGTTTTATTAATCTGATGCCCTAGTCACCAGCCACTTTTTACTTGTGTGGAATGTCCCCAAAGGTGATTGTTGAAGAATGTAGTCGCCCAACAAGAATTGGCTCTGCGCCGTCTTGATGTGTTGCTCTGAACAAAGACGCACTTTGTCCATGCAGGTGTGTGCTGTTGCTGCTGCAGAAGGGTGCCCTCCCAACGTTAGACCTTGTAATCCAGCGGAATGACCCGCCGCAGCCGGGCTTGCGCTGGCTCTATGTCCACAAGAAGATCCGCGCCCCGCTGCACGTACCCATCTTGCAGGTGCATTAACCCATAATGCGATTTTCGCGTGTGTGTGTGCTTCACCTGAATCTCCCGTGCACCGCGTGACGAGAGTTTCCACAATGATAAATAACGAAAGACTGTCCTTTGAGGGTTCTTGTATATGGTGTGCTCTCGTGTGGAGCCACCTTCTGCATATAGCCCACAAACCTAGCTACAAAAATGAATAGCGCAATAGACAGACTGGCAGAAAACGCACACGTAGTCCTTGTCCGTTGCATTGCTATTAAATTCATGGTGTCATACCTACATGCACAAGCGTGCACCTGGCACAGCCACAAACCACAGAAAAATAATCTTAAAAAATTGGCTGCATATCTACGTGCTTCGCTGCAAATGTCGTCGAAAGACAATAGTCTTCTGCCGGCCGCACTACATGAGTCCTCGGGGCATGTCTTGTAGAGTGGGCTGTATTTCATCAAGCAGCCATTTATGTTTTGCCTTGCCTCACACAATGCCTCTTCTATGTTGAATCGGTCGCATCTGGCTGGCATTGATAAAATAGAGGAAGCGCAGCATGAAATATGTACACCATCTGGAAGTGGTGTTGGGAAACGTGACCTTGTGCAGAACCTAGGGCCACTGCCAGGTGGCAGCACCATGTCGTCGCAGGGGGCTTTTTGGTGCATAGCGTCGCATTTTCAGTGCAGCTTAAGGAATACTAGGGTCTTAAATATTGAATGTCTGTGTATTTTGTAGTAAAAGAACACACCGCCTAATACTTGCATAATGATGTTGCGCCTCAAACATGCGTAATATTTGCCCACACATGCGACCGCGGCGGCGAGAACGAAGGCAGCGCCTGCTCGTGGGGTGCAGGCCCGCCTCACGCAGACACGAGCCGCGTGCCCGCAGCTGCGGAAGATGCATGCTCTTAGCAAAATGCCAAAATGCGGAGCAAAATTCCCAGATTGTCTGTGGGAAAATTAGTTGTATCAAAGTTGTCTCCCGCAGTTGCTTTGTTACATAGAGGTCGCAAATACATGTGCTTCTATGGAGCAACGGTGGAGAATAGAAAACCTTCATTATATCGTGGAATTCATTACATGGAGGTTTGTTATAAACAAGTTTAACTGTAGCACAGCCTGAAAGACAGCTTTGCCTCAATATGAGAGTGTGATGGGGTGAGGCATAATAAAAATTTGAAGGACGTTGACTGTATTTGTCTTCGGGAAGTTCGAATAGTCAAATTTCATTGGAAATTGAATAGCAAACACTATTCATCAATATTTGCAATTTCTTATATTCATGCACCCCAAGTTGCTAACGTTGGTTAGCAACTTGGCAAGCGTTGCCTAGCTTGGCCATTCACTGTTTAACAGTCTATAAGGACGTCAATGCTGTAAAATTTGCTCACGTCTTTATCTATGTCGAAGTAGGTATTGCTCTACGCATATGTATCACCGAAGATAATTTCGCTTGACCCTCTCTTCTTTTTTTTGTTCTTCGTTTGTGCAGGAGATCGTGAAGCGGTCATGGCAAGGCATTCTGCAGCAAATCATCGAGCATCTAGAGCTTGGTGGCAAGGGCCTGGCTCTCGCTGTTGAGGTGAGTGCCCACGCGTTAGCGCTTCTTGTTTGGGTTTGGAAGATTCCCGTTTTGAAATGCAGTATTTTATCAACTAGAGCAATCTCGTATTTTTCTATAGATATAGTAAACAAACGAACAATAACCTAACTTCACTTCGTTTTATACACTGTGTGCAACACTGTGGAAGCTAGCAAGGCTACTTGCAGTAGATGCATTCACACCAATAAACAGATTAATTGCTTTACTCCCGGCACAGTGTAAGAAAAATAATTTAAGTGCGGACACTTTCCGCCCACCACGACAGAGAGCGCGTCTAGATAATGTTCGTGTTTAGTACATGTGCCGGCCGCAGTTTCGGGGTTGGGGGGGTCGCTGCGACATGAGGGCTTAAGAAACCTAGCACTACGAGGCGAACGCGCGTTTTTCTTTTTTTATCACCTCATATTTTTTAAAACCATGCACGCAACTAGAGCTAGCGACCGAAAAACGTCACGTGCAGTGAACGCCACTGTTGGCTGCATGGTGTAAGAAGAAAAAACAAACTTTATGCTTTCAACACTGAGTTCTCGCCTTCGCAACGCCGTTACGGGCTCTACGCACGCAGCTCATCTTCTGTTACGTACGCCGGCCGCAGTTGCATGGGGGGTGCTGCAACATGAAGGCCGAGAGGAGGAAAGAGGTTAACATTATCTAGATGCACCGTTAATGTGATAATATATATATATATATATAGAGAGAGAGAGAGAGAGAGAGAGACGTATGGGATATGGCACAACGGGAGCGTTGTCAACAAGGATAAATATATTTATTTCCCAACAGTTTCCGGAGGGGTCCTCCCTTCATCAGGGGATGAGTTATTACTCCCACTATATATATATATATATATATATATATATATATATATATATATATATATATATATATATATATATATATATATATATATGTATATATATATATGTATATACATGAAAGTGCTTTGTGCCTTGGAAATTGTTGCCTCCGTGACCAGTTCCAGTAGTGTACAGCTGGTATCAGTCGCAAAAGCCACATTTACAGCGATAAAAACCACGTGTCACAGTTGCACGTTTTGCTGACTGACCTTCTTGCATAGCCACCCCCGTGCCGGATGTATGAAAACTAGTACAGTGTCAGCATGAGTGCGCTCAATTTCGCCATCAGGGGATAATTTACCAGTCTTATCGGATGTGCTGGTTCTGCCTCTTTGGGACTGCTGAAAGTGTCGCAATACAGCAAGTCTGGGAATGATGTGTGTATATTACGTGGAAATACTGGGCAACACAATTGTAACGTTTATAAGAAGACCCCAGAAAAGCAAGCTATCAGCAGCGAAAAACGTAAACTTTCAGAACAATTTTTTTCTCGGCAGGGAGATTGTTTTAGTGCGCAATGCTTTCAATGAAGTGGAAACGACAGAGTGGGCACTATTAAAATTTTTCTAGGAAAGTCTACCGACGAGTCGAGTGCTTCTTTTTCACTTGCTTTTTTCCAAGCGTGAGACCATAGTTATTGTTGCAGAATAATGCCGTCAACTGTGAGGCCTTCAAGTTTTGAAGATTCAAAGCCAAGACTGGGGTCAGTTGGCGTTCTCATCTGCCTATGCACCTAATTATCATCTAAGTCTGCAACAAGTTTGCAAACTAATCTTCTTGTGTATCCTAGAGCCAACATCATGCCCATCTTTCTATACTTTATTTACGATGCCGCAACATTTCTCGCTCGGCGGTTTGTCATCACTGCAATCAGGGTGCTTTTCATGTTCTCTTCAGGAGAAAGTCAGTCATCAGATTGGATCTTTTGAAATTTTGGTATTCTGTCTTGTGTTATTGAAGGTCTCTATGCATGTGTTGAAGTGAGCACGTACCGTAAAACCCGCTAATAGCCTGTTTTTTTTTTTTTTTTTCTAGATTTTACTATGCGAAATTTATATCCCGCCCTATATGCGGATCTCAAGAATTTTCGAGCGGAACTCGTAGTTTTGGTTTCGGCAATACACGGTGCTATCATCATCATCAGGTGTCTGTATGCTTCTGCGGTAGGTAGCATTGTAGCATTAGCGAGGTTAAAAGGGGGGACACGGGTTTTAAAAGCCGAAAAATCGTCAAAAAGTTGATTTTTTGGAAATGGCAGTTTTGCTATTTCCATCCAATATTCTACCATTTCGCCAAGTTTTATGCAGTTTGAAACGATATCTTAGCCGTAATATCAATTTTAGCACCAGTGCCAGCTAAATATGAGCCAAGAATTTGGTAAATAAAGCGCCTTTTCCGTGACACGCGACGGCCGTCATATTTGTCCGACAGCCGCGAATCATATATCGTTTGAAAGCGCAGCCTCTCGTCTTGATTTTCGCGCCATTTTCGGCTCCGAGCGCGCGTTGGCTGTGAAGATATCCCGATTCAAAAAGAAGTCCCAACACGCGCAGTAATTGGCCAGTTACGGCACGTGACCCGCAGCGGGTCACGCCATTGGCCTGACAGGCATCGTCTGCATCACTCCGCGGCGACTGTGCGCACACCGTACGCGTCAACTGGTTTTCGCACGTGAGCAACGATGTCGACGCCGTCGCCGAAGTTCGCTACGAAGTACAAATTCGGAACAAAAAGGAAGAGGAAGACTCCGTACAACTTCCAGAAATGCGCTGCTGTGCCACCACCAGTTCCTGACCATGCGGAGAACGGCGTGCTTCCCGAGTCGAGCGGCGCCGATGCGGGCGTGTTAGGCCTAGTCCCCCAAAGCGCTCTTGACAACCGCCGCGGGTCTTCGTCGTCGTTTCGGCACGACACTGCAATGTTGCAGCCAGAAGATTTGCGGCGTATAGAGAGTGAAGCTCAAGAAAAACTTAATGTACTTGCTTCAACTCCTGCTACTGCCCGAAAATCTGACTTTTTGGATCGTGATGACGCTGCCACACAAGCTAGCAACGATCTCGCTACAAGTTTTTTCATCGCTAGTTACGACTCGATGAACGCGCTGCTGGCGTCTACCAGTTGCAAGTGTACAATTTGTGGTGGTAACCTCACGGTGCGAAAAGGTGAGCGGGATTTTGGCCTTGCTGTGAAGTTTGTTGCCGAATGTGCGATCTGCGGCGATAATGTGCAGGGATGGAGCTCGCCGCGCGTGAGCGGCAAAGCAAAGCTCAGGCCTTTTGTCATAAACATCCTTGCGGAGCGTGCAATGCAGAGCACCGGAAACGGGCAAACCGCAATGAACGACATTTTTGCGGCGATGAACATTTCGGAGAGAGGAATGCACAATAAAACATGGCAGGGACACTTGAAAACGAAACTCGTCCCCGCGGCAACCGATGGGGCAGAAAAGTTGATGGGGACATGTGCACAATTAGTGCGCGATTTGTACCGTGACCTAAATATAAACAGCCCGGACAACATCGCTATATCGTTCGATGGCACATGGATGACGCGCGGCCACTCGTCTCATATCGGCGTCGGCACCGTAATTGAGCTCTACACAGGATTTGTGCTCGATTATGTAGTGCTCAGCAATTTCTGTGCTGGGTGCGCACGGGCACCAAAAGAAGTTGACCCTGCCTACCAGGCTTGGAAGGAGGCACACGCATGCCAGAAAAACACGGACAAAAAAGCTGGGGAGATGGAGGTGGAAGCGGCACTGATCCTCTTCCAAAGATCGCTGCAGAAGCATAAGCTGCGGTACACGACCTTGTTGTCGGATGGTGACAGCCGCGCTTACCTTGCTCTTCAAGATGCGAAAGTCTATGGATACATACCCGTGGACAAGGAAGATTGTGTTAACCACATTCACAAGAGAATGGGCACAGCACTGCGAAATCTAGTTTCCAAGCAGAAGTCCTCTGGTACAGAGAGTCTCGGTGGGAAAGGAAAGCTGACTGGTGAGCTTATCACCAAGCTCAGCAGCTACTATGGCTGGGCCTTGAAATCGCACAAAGGTGATGTCAAGGCCATGCATAAAGCAGTCATGGCCACATACTACCACATCACCTCAAACGATGTCACTTCTAACCACACTCTCTGTCCAGAGGGCCCAGATTCATGGTGCCGCCAAAACGCAGCAAAGGCCAAAGGTGAGCCTGCTCCAAAACACCGCCACAATCTGCCACCCCATGTATGTGAGGCGCTTCTTCCAGTTTACAGACGTTTGTCTGATGAATCGCTTCTTCGGCGATGCCTAAGAGGGAAGACCCAAAATAACAACGAGTGTCTCCACTCAATTATTTGGGCACTGGCGCCGAAGGAGAAACATGCATCATTGTTTGCTGTGCAAGCTGCTGTGGCAGAGGCTGTAATGAAGTTCAATTCTGGGTATGAAAAAGCTTCTACAGCCATACTTCAAGAACTTCAGCTAAACCCTGGCCAACAGTTGACCAAGCGCATGAGTGAAAAAGATCGCCACCGTGCTGAAGCATGCGCACGCAAGCATGCTTCTGCAGAAAACTTGCAGCGTGTGCTACGAAAACAACACCGAAATGACTCTAAACAGACAGACTATGTTCCTGGAGGGTACTGATGCTAGGCCATTTGTGAACATTGTAAATAGTTTGTGATTTTCTGTATTAAATATGAGCCTATTTTGTTTTTTGACGTTTTCTCAGAATGTCATTTTCGATGTTTTTGAAACTTGCCAAAGCGATATCTTGGTCTTGAGGTCACATAGAGCCACAATTCTTGTGGTGGCATGTAGCTACATATGTCTCCTACACAAATGTAGGAACAGATTTTTCAATCTAGTCTTTCTAAATTTTTATTCTTGGTACTAATTTAATCGCTTGATAGAGATATCTGGAGATTAAACTTCAAATTGCTATAAAATTGGTAATACTTGTAATATTAAAAAAGTAATCCTACATTTGTGTTAATTACACTTCATAGTATCTAGCCATATGTCAATATTAATATTCTGGCCAATAATTGCCTTTCCATTGTTCTGATAAACAATATAGGATTAATTTTAATTATCTCTGCAACTGGCCAACCAATTTCAAAAGCAATTATATTTTTGAAATCAGCTTGAAAAACTCTGTCTGGGTTACAATTTTCATTGAATTTGGTCAAGAAATATAAAAAAAAAATTTAAAACCCTCTTCCCCCCTTAAACCTACAGGCGTTCAACAGTGGCCGTTGCAACCACTTTACGCACGTAACGACGACCACGATTTCACATCTGTTACTTTACGCCGCGGCAGCTCCGCGAAGGCAGTATTCGGCTGCCTTTAAGAGAAAGGCTATCTTAGCTGCTGAAACCATCGGTAACTGTGCTGTGGGGTGACAGTTCGGTGTGAATGAGCGGTGCATTCGCAGCTGGAAAAAACGGAAAATGGGGCATTTTCCGACGTTGAACAAAAACTGGAGAACTTTGTTCAAGAGCAATAGGCTGCACAGCTTGCTGTCAACATCGAGCTGCTGCAAGCAAAGGCGAGGGAGATCGCGCGAGATCAAGGCGTTGAGCAGGTGGTCTTCAGGGCGAGCAAGCATTGGGTGTCCCGCTACATGCGCCACGTTGGATTCTCTCTACGTTGGCGTATGTCGCATTTAACAAAAGCTGCCAAAAAAACTACGAAAAGCTGCTTGCAGGCTTTCAGAAGCACATGATTTCCTTGCAAAAGGCAGTCTCCTTTCAGCTTGGCCAGATCGGAAACGCCGATCGCACGTCTGTGTACCTCAATATGCCCTCGGCTCACGAAAAAGTTCACGAAAAAGGCTCCAGGCAAGTTACCGTGTGATCAACTGGGAATGAAAACATGCGGGTGACTGTAATGTTGTCCTGCACTGAAGACGGTCGCAAGCTACACCATGTGTCGCGTTTAAAAGAAAGACGCTGTTGAAGGGAAAAAGTTCCCAAGAAATGTGGTCGTCCGCTGCCAGGACAAGTGGTAGATGAATGAATCGCGCTTTTACTCGACTAGATCAAGTCCATGCGGTGTCGACGGCCCCGAGCACTGCTAGGGCTCCGATCAATGCTTGTGCTTGACGCATTTTGGTGTTATCTGGCGGACTGCGTGAAGAGATTGCTGCGCGTCTCCTGCACAGAGCTCGTCTTATCTTGGGAGGGGTGACATCTCAGCTGCAGCCGCTTGATGTGTGCCTCAATAAGTCATTTAAGGACCACGTTAAGTGCCTGTATATGGAGTGTATGAGGCCCGGAGAGCCGGCAGTGGCCCTTGCCGGGCGACTGAAGCAGACCTTGCCAGTGATGCTGTGCTCGTGGATCGCTGAGGCTTGAGCCTGTATTCCTGAGAAGCTCGTTTGCCGTTCCTTCAAAAAGTGCTCTATCTCAAATGCGTTCGATGGCACTGATGATGATGCGCTGTGGGAGGACATGTCCGACATGGGAGCTTGGGATTAGTGCTCGTCAGATGATGAATAATTGAGTGTAAATGAATGGGTCTTTCCATTTTTCTCGGTCTAAATTCGGCTGAAACATTTTTTCTGCCATTTGCTATGCCTGAAAGCACTTCAAACTATGTGCAGCTCCGACCTATACACGTGTTTTTACGGTATTTTCCGGTTGGTCCTTGAACTGAATTGCTTTTGAAGAGTGCCGCTCATGTCATAGCTTTGGTGTACCTTCCGTTCTTGTTTTTTACGAGTCTTGAAGTGGCAGGTGCTTCAATTAGTTAGAATTACTTCTCCAAACCGTCAAGTGCCCTATGTTGATGATCAACATTGATTGATTGACTGAGTGATCAGTTTATTTTGGTGTTAGATATGCTGGAACTGCTGTCTCCTCTCCAGGCGGCCCTGAGGAGTTGTTCTTACGAGTTGGCGTTGAGGCTCATTGCCAAAGTGAAGCATGGCTGGACCCTGTACAGTGACAAGCAGACCATGTTGCATGTACTTGCACGAGAGGCTCCAAGAGATGCCCAGCTGGAAATGCAGATCAAGGTACGTCTCAAAGGAGGTAACGCCTCTCGATTCGTCACTTTGGGCCGGGTGCTTTCTCGGTATATCGTACTCAAGTAGGGAGAACTCTGTAGGATTAATGTGATGACATGGTTTTAAAACACCCCCCAAATCAAACATGTACTTGATTTCTAATGAAGAAACGAATTGCCTATCTTTGACCCTTTTGCGGAAAGTGCAGGAATTAAATTTGCAGAATATAAAGTACTGCAGTAGACGTGTTTGTTTATAGTGGTGTTATGATTGTTTTTAGTGGCTTACCGTACCATTTTACTGCAGTACCATATTATGATGATTCTCATCCTGCTATGTTTATTAGCAAGGTCTGTATTAGCCACTACTGTAATCGTCCCATTATGTTACTGTACTAGTCCAGGAATATCAAAGAAAATAGGACTAGAAGAGGAAGGTCGTCTTCTACGATATTGTACCAACAAACCCAAATTTTCTAGCTTGCTATGTCCAGATATTCTCGCAGCAGAAATATTTTCTAATTGTGGTACAATGAACACTGGCAACACCATCGCGTGTAGTATTATCGCTTGCATATCCCAGGGCTATTACTTAGACAAGCTCCACCTACGCGGAGCACCGTATTTTCGCGCGTATAACCCTCGCCAAAAACCCGAAGATTTCAGTAGCAAAGTTGGGGTGCAAGTATTGCGGTGGGTTTTTCCTGTAGCGGTGCTTCACAACAATGCATGTTGTGCTGTGAAGCCCCTTAGCAATGTAGCGAAGGATACGGAGTCTGTTAACGCAAATTCATGTTGCTCCGCAAGTACAGTCGAATCTCGATAATTTGAACTCGCAGAACTCGAAAATTTGTTTGAATTTCGAAAAGTTCGAATTAATGAAAGCTAAATAAACAGAGGGCTCTCCATGCAGTGGTGCATGTGCATTGAGCTAACACACGAGGGCGAAGATTCAGAAGGCTCATATTTATTCACAAATCGCAGGACATCCGTTATGACAGGTAGATTGCCACTATCCCTCAAGAGGAAGGTAGATAACAGCTGTATCTTGCCGGTACTTAGCTACGGAGCAGAAACCTGGAGATTTAAAAAGAGGGTTCAGCTTAAATTGAGGACGACGCAGCGAGCAATGAAAAGAAACATGGTAGGTGTAACCTTAAGAGACAAGAAGAGAGCAGAGTGGATTAGGAAACAAACGGGGGTTAAGGATATCGTAGTTGAAATCAAGAAGAAGAAATGGACATGGGCTGGGCATGTTGCGCATAGACAGGACAATTGCTGGTCATTAAGGGTAACTGACTGGATTCCCAGAAAAGGCAAGCGGGTTAGGGGGAGACAGAAGGTTAGGTAGGCAGATGAGATTAAGAAGTTTGCGGGTATAAATTGGCAGCAGCAAACACAGGACCGGGATAACTGGCGGAACATGGGAGAGGCCTTTGTTCATCAGTGGACGTAGTCAGGTTGATGATGATTGATGAATCAATGATGCACGTCTGCACATGTCTGCGTTGCAGCGAGTCAATCAATTTCGCACGCAGCTTGCAAAGCATTTCTACTTTGGCTTCAGCATTTTCCTGGCAAAAGAAGTTGCGCGCGGACATGCCCAGCGCCGACACTTTCTAAAGACGACAACGACTGCGCTGCGGAGCCTCTGCGCTACGCAGCCGCAGCATGGCGAGCACGTGACGAGAAAGGAGGAGCGTGTTCATGCGGAGAGAAGCAGTGGGGCAGTTTGGGCTAGTTGATATGACATGACGATAGTTATAGCGCGAGAGCAGAACGACGACAAAGAGACAAGATTGATTGATATGTGGGGTTTAACGTCCCAAAACCACTATATGATTATGAGAGACGCCGTAGTGGAGGGCTCCGGAAATTTAGACCACCTGGGGTTCTTTAACGTGCACCCAAATCTGAGCACACGGGCCTACAACATTTCCGCCTCCATCGGAAATGCAGCCGCCGCAGCCGGGATTCGAACCCGCGCCCTGCGGGTCAGCAGCCGAGTACCTTAGCCACAAGACCACCGCGGCGGGGCAAAGAGACAAGACGGACACAAGCGCTCGGCATTTGAGAAAAAAGCAACACTCCACGGCACTTTTTTTTTTGCTTTGTTTGCGCGCGTCTTGAAAGGAGAAGAGTTACGTGGCAAGGTCAGGAAAGGAGGAAGCTTGGCACTGGCGCGTAAGAGAGCCCCCCCCCCCCCCCTCAAGGCACAGAGCCGGGCTCCCGCAATGGGCAAGGGCTGCAGAAGAAAGTGCTTTTTTCCTTTCCTTCAACCACACATTGATTCAACCCAGCGACATCTTTCTCTTTTTTTTTTCTCTCTCTCTCTCTCTGTTCGCTCGCGGCATTGGAAGGAGAAGGGTCTTTACGTGGCAGGGACGGAAAAGGAAGAAGCGTGACACGGGCGCGTCGCAGATCGGCATTTGAGAGAGAGCAAACACTCCACCGCAGCCTTTTCTTTTCTTTTCATTTCCTTCGCGCGCAGCGTTGAGGTGTCGCAGGTGCCGCCGCGGGATTGGGCGGGGGGCTGAGAGCATTTTCGAAGCGCGGTACGTTCGAATGAACTGTCGCTAGTGCTTGCACGTTTGAATTACCGGGCGTTTTCGCCCATTGAAATACGCATAGCCTTGACGGACCTTATCATGAGTTCGAATTAAGCATGTTTGAATTAAGGGGGCAGACTGCTCTTAGACATTTTTTGTT